CTTTCGTTATCAATGAGTTCTAAAGATTTTAACTGTCTCTGCCTGACAGCAGCATTTGTAGTTCCATTTTCCCTTTAAAACTTCCTCATTAACCACATTCTCTATCTGTGGTATTCTTAGCATTCCTCGGACTTACGGCCATATCATGTTGAAACACCAATCACCTAAGTTGGGTGATCGCTTGGGAATACTGTAAGCTTGGATGTGCGGGTGGTGTAATGAATAACTGCTCAAAATTGAAAATGGCAGAGCCGAGTTCCATTTTTTTAATCATTTCACCCCAAGCAAATTGACAGCGCCACTAAGACGCAAGGGTTTACTGGGAGTGAATGAGATTGATAAGATTTTATGAGAAGGAATAGGGAACTCAATCCTAGACAGAAGACAAGGAATATACCTCTACCCTTTTTCTAAAGACGAGGAAGAAGTGTGAACCGGGCGATAGGTGAACCTATCTAGTCTGGTTCTTTTCCAGTTGTGTTCGATATATTCACTTTGGAAAGGTATAGATCCATCGCTATGGGCTAATTAGCAGGACTTATATAATTACTTCATTATGATCTCCAAAAGATCCTCACAATCTAAAAATACTTTCTGGCTTTAAATAACCTGCAAAAGGTTAATAAGCCATTAAAAACAAACCAATTCGTTGGTAAGAACCACGTCTCTGTCGCTACAAGTTTCTTCTTCATCTGTAAAGAGATTTGCCACCAACATTCACTGCCATATGGAAAATTAGATTTTATAAGTATCCAGCACTCATTTTGTTTCCAAAAACATTTTCCGATTTCTTAAGACTTTGCTAAGTTTTTGAAAAGCATCGTCGCCATGTCTTTGTGTTTTCGGATTTTTATGTCACATTTTCCATCGTCTGTTACTACACTACTGATGTGAGTCAACATTCAAGTATATTTATTTCAAAGCAACAAAAATCTTTCGTAGATCTTCAGCTGGATCCAAAATTAATTGTTGTAATAACTCAAAATATTGACCGAAATACATTTCGTTGATATTGTTCATAATGAAAAAGATGAATAAAAGAAAAATAACAAAGAAAGAAATTAAGTAAAAAAAAAAGGACGAAATAAAATTAATGTAGTTAGTCGGGCCGTATAGATCTGAGCCCTATCTGGGCTCTAGACATATTTAATAGGCAATGCATTTCTTGCTTTAGTTTTATAAATAATAGTTTAAAAATTTCTAATGACTTGTATGCTCTGTTTTTTTTGTTTTTTTTCAATTTCAATTCATTATTTTCAAATAGTGGAATGTATCAATTGAGAAAGAGCAAATTAAATTTAACCCTACTTAAATTCACGGCAAAAATCAAAGAAAGTGGCAGCCTTAACTCGTCGACTGGAGAGTTGGGGTGAGGAGTGTGACTGGGGTAGTGTTGAGCAAATATGATATTAGTTAGCATCACTGATCATAAACGTACAATAAATTAAACGCATAGACATATTTACAAAGATATCAGCGACTTGATAAGCAGACTATACAACAATAAAAAAATGGGAAAAGGGCAATAAATAGATAAAGCATATCAAAGACTTTGTCCTCGCTTTTTTCTTACATGTCTGGAAAGAATTTTAAAAATAAATGTTTATAATTATAGAATAATTACAATTAATATTAAAATAACAAAATGTGTTTTTTTTAATTTCATGCACAGAGATTGTTTTAAAAAATTGTATATTTTAGTTTGAGTAATACACGAAACAGCCTGTCGCCTCTGAGTGTTGACTTCAATGTTCACTTTTATATTTACATATGCTCTGTCTCTGATATTGAGCACTTTAGCCCATAAATATAGCACAGCTTAAAAATATATTTCTTCATATATATATATATATATATATAATGACAGGTGATGAAAAATAGGCTACGTACAACAATGTTCAATGCAAATGTTAATGGATTAACAATGATAAATCTCCCCAAACAGCTCCTAAAACTGAGCTCATCGAAGAACGATAATGTTGTGAATGTGGTGACATCGTCGGAATATGGTTCGTTTGGAATTCTTAAAACGCAGTGAGACCCTAAATGCACATGTATACGTCCAGCAACTGCAACGTGTCCATAAAACTTGCGCTTGTCAATAGGAAATTCTCCTGTATGGCAATGAGTGGCTGCTTACAACAAGAATAACATATAAAATCTGGACTATTGGTCTGTTCAACCCCAGCGTCTATCTACCCCTTGCCCTGCACCATTTTCGATAGTTACAAATATAGTGATAGGGGGAAAGTCTTCTCTTATGGTAACCAGATTCAAGAATTGGTCGACAAAATTTTCGCATGAAAATCCCCGGAATTTTGCTGAAAGGTTATCGAAGCAAATAATGGTGAATTAAATAAAATCTAATTGTCCTTTTTTTTTCTTTTTTCATGAGGAAGGATGATATACAAATAACTTGGGTCAAAGAGTAAATGCAAATCAAACATGGATCCGAATCCGACAGGATGATAAGAAAAAGAACAAATAGGAAACGTTTATCAATCTAACATGCTTCACTTATGTAAGTTTTTAAAAATTCTATTATCTCTAAGTATACACACTTAGAATTGTGTACTGTTTTAATGCATGACTGGAATCGATCCAAACAAAATTGAAAATACCAAAGTTCTGTCATTTGTCTGTTTTCTCTCAATCTCTGACGAAGTTTTAATAAAAGTGATTCAAGTTAGACTGATAAACGTTTCTTATTTGTTCTTTATCTTATCCTATATATATATATATATATATATATATATATATATATATATATATATATATATATATATATATATATATATATATATATATATATATATATATATATATATATATATATATATATATATATATATATATATATATATATATATATATATATATATATATATATATATATATTTAATTTAATGAAAACAGCCAACTTTAAGGGACCATGGTGTTAATTTTATATATATATATATATTTAATTTAATGAAAACAGACAACTTTAAGGGATCATGGTGTTAATTTATATATATATATATATATATATATATATATATATACGATTCGTGACAACAAATATCTGGCAGGGAAACATAATCAATTGTATAGGCACCGAAATGCATACTTAAGAATTGTGTAATTGTAATCAGTTTAAAATATAAATTATTTTGAAATGTGAAAATTGGGTTAATGTTGTCATTCATTAAAATGAATAAAATGGGATATATATTTATTGTTGCCATATGTGCACATTTATATCAATATTTTTTCGGTATCCAAAAATATATTTTCAAGAGCACATAAAATTCGTAAAGGTGTATTTTAATTTTATCAAGAACTACGTTCACATGTACATGTAAATAAACAAGAAATACTCATTAAACATTAATACAAAATATTTAACCACAGTATTTAATCAAACATGCATTAATGAAGAATTGCTACCTAAATACAGATGTAAGTTCTTGCAGCAAAGAAGAAACTTTATATATATATATATATATATATGTACATATATATATGTATATGTGTGTGTGTAGATAGATATATAGTGATATTCAGTAGGAACACGTGTGTCAGAAATAAGCGTTTTTTTAAGCTAAAATTCATGTCTGATGGCATTTAGATCGAAAGATTTCTCGATAGGTACAAACAGTTTGTTTAGTAGGACTTTCGATCTCTAGGCTGGTAGACATTAATTTTAAAAATGGGATGTCTAATCAAACACGTGTTCCCAGTAAATATAACATTTATAGGAATAAGAAATAATGTCAGATTTTGAAAAAAGTAATTTATTGTCAAAATATTACATATGAATGTAGACGGTCTGTCTCGCTAGCTAGCTGGATAGATAGATAGATAGATAGATAGATAGATAGATAGATAGATAGATGATGATAGATAGATAGATAGATAGATGAGCAGATAGAGAGATAGATAGATAGATAGATAGATAGATAGATAGATATTTATCTACGAACAGAATGATTTAGATAGACAGAGATAGATAGATAGATAGATAGATAGATAGATAGATAGATAGATAGATATAAACAGACTGAGACAGACAGATACTGAACAGACTGAGATAGATAGATAGATAGATATGTACAGATTGAGATAGAAAAATATGAACAGACATAGATAGATAGATAGATAGATAGATAGATAGATAGATAGATAGATAGATATGAACAGACTGAGATAGAAAGATATGAACAAACATAGATAGATAGATAGATAGATAGATAGATAGATAGATAGATACTGAGCAGACTGAGATAGATAGATACTGAACAGACTGAGATAGATAGATAGATAGATAGATAGATAGATAGATAGATAGATAGATAGATAGATAGATAGATAAGGTAATGAACATAGATAGATAGATAGATAGATAGATAGATAGGTAGATAGGTAGATAGATAGATATTAGTGACAACAAATATAATTCGAGGGATGATGATAAGCTCTTTTATCAAACTAAGACGCTTTGACATTTTCTTAGATTTTGTGAAGATTGTCAAGTCCGGGACATTTCAGCACCCCACCGCACAAATGGGAATGAAGGGCAAAACATCGCTATCTTTAGAAAAGAAAATATGTGTATGGTAAACATTTAATGATAGACGCTAAAAAAGACGTCAGTTACAAAAAAAAAGTAAAAAGAAAAAAAAGGGAAAAAAGTTATTAAGTGTATTTCAGGTTTCCGCGCATTTTCTCATCTGAAATACACGCAAGAACATGACTTCGTATGTCTACTATATCGACAGATATATGTATATATCTGTCGATATTTATAGATAATCTATTCAATGGAAAATTTCGTGATATCCGGCCAAGGATACAAGTGAGAGAAAATGACTCAAGCGAACCATACTTGTCGCAGACACGTACCCCCATTTCCTACCCCAATTCAATGAATCAGAAACGCCATAACAGAATGAATATATATATATATATATATATATATATATATATATATATATATATATATATATATATACAATCTCCTATATAGATAGATAGATAGATAGATAGATAGATAGATAGATAGATAGATAGACAGATAGATAGATAGATAGATAGATCTGAAAAGACTGAGATGTATAGGAATAGATTGAAATAGATATAAAAAAACAAACTGAGGTATAGTAGTGTATAAGGAAAATAAACACTTGTAAAATATTTAATTAATATTAATTTCTGATGCTTACGTTTACTTGAGCCGGCTTGGTATTTTGATATAACATGAACACTGTATATACTCGTGTATAAGTCGACCCGAATAAAAGCCGACATCGTATTATAAGTCGAAAGCAAACCCAGATTTTAAGCCAAGGCAGCTAATCAACGCATAACTACACAGCTTTCTTTTTAAATGATGAAGTTCTGTCTGATCTGCACTTTATCAGTCATCTTAATGCATCGGCAATTACTCAAAACAATAATCAGTATCAAGTTTTGATCTATCACTTCATGGTGTCTGTGTCATTAGCATTATATAAGTATGTTCAACTTCCTGAACAAATCAATGATAACGGGCATCTGTATATATACAAATCGATTGGGATATTTTATAAAGGAAAATTAATTAGGGTTCCCATCAGTCACACGATGCGATAAATTAAAGATAAATAAAGATTGTGAGTACTAAAAATAGAAAAAGTAAAACAATATTTCATTGTAAAAAAATCGCGTCAGGTCGTTCGGCGCTATTTTTACATGGACGTCGAAGTTGTTGAATATCATCAAAATATTGAACTCGAATATTTATATATATATATATATATATATATATATAGAGAGAGAGATAGATAGATAGATAGATAGATAGATAGATAGATAGATAGATAGATATGAGCATACACATTGATAGGTAGATTGATATGAGCAGAGTCATAGATAGATGGCGAAAAAGACTGAGACAGATAATGAAGATTGTGATAGATAGATAGATAATGAACAGACTGAAATTCGTTTGTTTTTATGATAAATTTACCTAATTTTTGAATATATATATATATATATATATATATATATATATATATATATATATATAGACACTACTTATTTAATAGACTTCTAATATTCTCGTTTACATTAAATCTATGTAGTTGTATTGCATCACTGTATGAAAGAGTCATGGGATAATGTATCGAAAGATGGAATTCAGCTTTTATAAGTCATAGATCCGGGAGAGTTATCATCCAATGAGAATATACAGTGTATTAGCAATCAGTCTGTGAGTTGTTGATACACTCTTGTGTATTGTTGATAGCCAAATTATTTTGTAGCCAGCATACATAATGATGTGTATGCGATTAGGCAGCTCTATTTTCTGTGTATCTAGCCTTGAATAAATTGAAATACATATTCAGCGGGTCGCCATTTTCTCTTTGATTTTTTTTTTTTTAATTTAATTTATTTATTAATTTGTAGATACACTGGAATAGCAAAAGATTCTTTCCAAAAATTGAAGTCCGTGAGTCACTCGAGGTAGTGTAAGATAGTGTAAGCGGCATAGTTTATGCGGATAGGTCGAGAAGATAAAGGTTAATCATAGACCGGAAAGGGTTAATGTTGTGGATCCCGCGTGAAAAATAGGTATCCAATAAATGACAAACGCAAGTATTTAAGCTAAGAAATTAAATGTATTTACACAAAATACAAAAGGTAATGCTGTTAGTAAAATCCAGGAACGCCGGTTAGTAGCAAATACAGATAGATATATACAGTCTCGAAGTAGGACTTCCTTGGAGTCTACGTGCTTGTAACTGACTTCTACAAGAGGTTACTTCACTCCATCCGACACTCATGTACGACTCCGGTACGACTCATCTTCTCTGCCTGACTGTGGCTATTTTATGGCAGCAGGACGAGTCCATTATATCCGAAAAGGGTGGACCCCATAATAGTTAAGATTGTAGTTATTGGGTAAACATCCTCTTGAGAGTCGTTTTCACAGAGCGTTCATTGGCGGGAAGATGCTTTTTGAGTAGAATTTACTTCTCGCCAAGGGTTATACGGAAAGAATGATGGTGGTTCACTACGATTCGGGTCCTATCCGTGATAGTTAGAGCTGGTGGAATGTAGTTCATCTGATAACTCAACAAATCAAAACCTACCCACATTTTCACCCACACAAGACAGACATGCTTACGGAGGTGTTGAGGCCTCACACTTATACAAACACCCACACGAATATACACACTTACACACATCATACTTTCTCACTTCCTAATGAGCCAAATGATAACACACACCCACAGCAATACACACGCTTACACATATCATACTCACTCACTCCCTAAGAACCAAATAACACACACACAAAGACTTAACAGAGACACAACCCCTCTCCAGGACCAATAAAACTGTCAAACTGACCAGGGGAATTCAGAGAAGCATAGATCCATCCAGCTCTTATCTCAAATAACAACTTAAAAGAGACTGTTTGACCAACACAAGGAATGTTAAAAGATTCATGTTAAAAAGATAAAAAAACAAATAAAAAAACAAATGAAAACTACAGACAAAAGTTCATTTTCTCCATCAAGACATTCATTTCTGTAATTTACTGCTACCAGCAAGCAGAAATATTTCTTCTCCTGATGATGGCCATTTTGGCCGAAACTAGCCGAGGAATCTAAATGAAATAATAATAAAAAGAATATTAATCTACAACCCAGTGTGTCTGAAGATTTTAATTTTTTAATATTTTCTTATTGTTCAATATATATATATATATATATATATATATATATATATATATATATATATATATATATAGTCTTTGTAATTGAGGCCGTAGATATCTATATATATCTGGACACGACTATAACTCTGGTTGAACACCCGGTCTCGACGTATTGCTCTATTACTTCCTTACTGAGTCTATGTGCTCGCTAACTGTGACTCTAGCTCGCTACGTACGTTCGTTCTTCGTTCCTTCGTTCTTTTTGAGTATTCTCTAACAGTAGTATATGTATACTCTGGGTGAGTCCATTTGAGTAAAAAGGGGAAGACCCCTCAACACAAGTTCCACTAAAGTCTGGGTTAAATTTGAGACCTAATAGTCCCTCAAGGCACTGGACCTCCCAGCGGGAACATCTGTTTATCGTGACTTGTGGTGGTTTGGGTTCCGATGGACGATGATGGAATGTAACTAGTTTGGATTTCAAGGTATTGAATGTAACCAGCCCGTTTTTACCCCACTGAGACGTTAGAGGTCGGTCAGAGGAGAGATCAGCTGCCAATCGCTAGTCGTCTCAATTTTTCAAGGTGACCTCATATACCGTTGTATCATCAACATAAATATTCACAAATGATCAGAGTATACTTTTAGGCAGATCATTTATCTAAAGTAGAAAGAGAGTTGAACAGAGAAGCAATCCCTAGTGGGAGGCGACTGTGTTGATTACGAGGGTTTTGGAGGAGTGGCTGTTAAAAACTACCTTCAGGGACCTACCATCTTTTTTTTAAACGTTTCACCCCAAGCAAGGCGGGAAGCCACTAGAACGCAAAGGGTTACAGAAAATTTAGAGGAAGATCAGATAGGAGTGATAGAAGAAAGGATGAGGAGAAGGGTAGTGGATAGATCAAGGCAACTGGAGATGTCGATTGACATTACATTTGAATAGCTGAAGATTATAGCTCTCAAGGAAAAATGGAATAGGGAAGAGAGTTCTACAGGCGAGAGGAGCGAGACATGAAGCTATTGGAGTAGAAGAGACCGCTACATTTAGGAGTTTCGACAGTGAAAGCGTGAGAGTGGGATGCCAGCCTCGTAGGGCGCTTGAATTCTGGAAGTCTGGGAACCAGCGATTGCAGCTCCTCGAAGCAATTGCCATGAAAGTATTTGTAAAAAAAGACAGAGAGAGGCGACGGCCCATCTGTGAGAGAGCGACTGTAGACGAGATGCCAGAACAGGGCCAATTATTTAGGAAGGACTTTATTGAAAAGGCACTTTCAGTGATTCCATAGCTAGAGAGCATGAGCAGAAATTCTTTGCGTCCCACCTTTGAAATATCTAATGTCATCGTCCATTACCTCACTGCGAGTAATGGTAGTTAGGGCATCAGCAGTGGATCAGGCCAACTGAAACACGTACTGCTTGTTAAGAAACGGGAAATTTAGAAACAAAGAAAAGAATGTACCATCACTTCGCCTAGATGGAACGAGCCGCGGGACAGTTTCCTCGAGGAGGAAGAAAAATTAAGGGGTCACAGATGTGTTTCTACAAAAGGATATTGAGAATACCGAGAATAGAGCATGTAAGCAACGCAGTTTTAAGGAATGCACGAACAAAAACGGTGCTTATACATGAAATCAGAAAGTGACAGCTGAAATTTCTAAAACTTATAGTGAGAAAAGAATGTTTGGAAATTTTGACACTCAGAGGACAGTGATACTAAGTAAGATAATTGGATAGTAAAAAGATAGGTCGGATATTAAAAAGACAAACATTGTTAAGATCTACAAAGAATAGGAAGTTGTGGAGAGTCATGATCGCTTACGTCTTGAAAGGATACTGCGCATAGAAAAAGTACAGTTTATCGCAATATCCAACGTTGTGTTTCCATCACTCAATAACTTTACAATATCTTGTCTTTTTATATGTCATATTTTGCTTGCAACCCATGACAACCTTTTATATATCTGAAAATAATAAATATATATCAATAACTAATTTATTATATATATATATATATATATATATATATATATATATTGTTCGCAATACAAACCATGAACTGCACAATAAGATATCTACCATTAATTTATTGGAAATATTTCCATTAAAAACAACTGAAACTCACATGCAATGTTTATAATCGACAGATGCCAACATCGGTTGCTTAATCTCGAAGTTTATTATGAAGGATTGTCTTGCATAATATCTGATATGAACGGATGCAAAATAGATAGATAGATAGATAGATAGATAGATAGATAGATAGATAGATAGATAGAAAAGAATGAGATATATATAAATACAGAGATAGATATATAGATGGATTGATATGAAGAGAATGAGATAGATAGATAGATAGATAGATAGATATAAAAGAATGAGATATATATAAATACAGAGATCGATATATATATATATATAGATAGATAGATAGATAGATAGATAGATAGATATGAACAGACTTAGAAATTAAGTATCAATTTTCTTTAATTTCCATATAAAATTTCATTTTTTCGAAAGTTAGCAACTAGTAAATATATAAATTATTTACTTTATAACGTGAGCTCATCGTCATTCTTATTTTTCTTATCATCCGAATTAATGTCCCCCCCGCCAAAATACGCTTTCGTGATCACTAAGTGGTAAGTTTGTGAGAAAGTTTACAAAAGGAAATAAAGGTGTGGCGAAGAAAGAAAGAAAGAAAGAATGAAAAAAATGAAAGAAAGAAAGAAAAGAAAAAAGAAAAGAAAAAAAAGAAAGTGCGCTCTAAACTAATAATACCAAAATATGTTTCTAAATGGCGCCAAAGATACTTTCCCATTGATGTAAGCGGGAATCTTGTCAGGTTATCGGCTGCAGAAGCAAAGTAAAAAAAAAAAGGAAGAAAAAATGGCACACGTGGTCAAAATTGGGCGAGAGGCAAGAGGAAATTTTTAAAAAAATGTTATTCTTTGTCGCAACACGAGTCGACGTCTTTTTATTTATTTCCTTATTTCATTTTTCTTTTATTTTTCAGTCACTCTTCCTTGTCCCGAGGGAGATTAACATGGCCGGCAAGACTAATTCTCTCTCCAGTTGCGAACTATCTGTAACCAGACAAGTTTTGATAGCTAATAGGGGGTCCGTGTGATGAATTGGGACTGCTTTGTGGTAGCTGTGCTACCGATATTAGTAAAGGGTCATTCGCGTGTTGTCCTTCAGGGTGTCGAGAAGGGGGTCTCGAAATTATAACACCTTGCATCAGTGGGAATAGATAAACAGTCAACGACAGAAAGGGCCAGAGAGAGAGAGAGAGAAAGTGGTTGTAGAGTTGCAGAATGTAACAACGAAAGTGAAAGCAAACTCAACGAAACAAGCGCAAATACAAACATTAACAATAATATCTATGTTTTTAAGAATAAAAGTGATGCCGAAGAACATGCTTTTTGTTTTAGCGCCATGTCCCTTCAGGCCGTAGACGATCATTGCTTTTCACAGATTGAATTTTCTTTTAAGGTGTGACGTCTTGTGAAAGATAGACGAATGGTTTTCCGTTGTCCTCTCCACAGATTTAAATTCAGATTATCCAACAGGCTGCTACACAAAGCTTGAGATCTCTGGTCTACTCTAGTATGTAATCCATAGCTTGGGTTCAGGGAGGAGATATTGAATCATGTATTTTCCAGGGATATTTTCGAGAAAGTGAAAGCATAAAGAAAAAAAGTTTGCGTTGGTATTAGTCTTCAAGTTACTGCATCGGAAGTAAGACCAACGTGTATATATATATATATATATATATATATATATATATATATATATATATATATATATATATATATATAATATTAAAATCAATACAAAAACACATCTCATACAGTCAAACATGAAGGGAAATTAACAACATCCAAAAAACAAACCCCTTTGAAAATTAATTACATTTTCCTTTTCTGTCATGTTCAACAAGACATATTTAAAAGAAACGTTGATGCCCAAATATACGCTAATACATACTTATATATATATATATATATATATATATATATATATATATATATAGAGAGAGAGAGAGAGAGAGAGAGAGAGAGAAAGTAGATTTGGCACTTAGCTGATAGATCTTCAGCATCAAGACACCAGAATTAAATAGATAGACCCTCTGGAAATCACTCGATCCACTAGTCAGGGAGATATCACCAATTGACTTTATATTTCTGGATTTTTCTTCTTTTTTTTTCTTTTTGATATGCACTTTTCATTGGTGCAAGTTTTTCTTTTACTAGTGATTGTGCGCGTACGTGTATACAGAAAGAGAGAGAGAGAGAGAGAAAGAGAGAGTGTGTATTTGGGTAGCAAGCCTTCTTTTATGCATGTTTAATTAAACTGATGGACAAGGAATATCTTGTGAGATTTATTTGATTTTTTTCTTGTGTTGGACTAATAGTTATTTTCCAAGCGTAGCTTAGATGTGGCACAAGGCCGAAAGTATGATGCACCCAGTGAGGATCGCACTCACTACTCAATCATAATTGTTCGAGCGAGACAAACTTGTTAACCATTACAACACCACGAGGTGCCTCCTTGAGGACTATTATGTGGAGAAATCGGTCGCTTTCATATGTTAGGCTTCTTTAAGTAGGGGTAGCGGTAGTTGTCGTTACAATGGCTTTGTTAAAAAAAAAAAAAAAAGAAAAAACAGACCCCGGGATTCTTGAATGGATTTCGATCGTGAATATCTAGAAAATTCGTTAGAAACAAACAAAAAAAGTTCTTAATTGTAATATCAATTTTCCTACATGGCAGTGAATGGTGAACAGTTTCCTAGTTGATAGAAGACTCTAAAAGAAGAGAGAATACCATTGACGGTGTATGTAAGCAACGAGGAAGTTTTAAGAAAAATGCAAAGAAAGAAGACACTATCAAAGAGAAACAGTTGAAATTTCTAGAACATAATGAGAAAAGAGTGCTTCGAGAATTTGACAGTTTCACGTTCACTGTCTTAGATTTTTAAATTATCCACTCGTTTGTTAAAGAAATCGTATTTTACGTTTTGATTTTTACGCTGGAGTAATGGATAACGGCTCGGATTGAGGAATCGAAAAGCCGAGTTCGAATTCCAGTCGAAGCCATTACATTCACTTAAGTTCTAATACCCTTAGGAAAGTTATAAATCATCTTCTTCTCCCCACCTCAAGCTATGGGTAAATAGCAGGACAGACCGGATTCTATAGCCTTGGATGGCAACTGTTCTACCGCAGAAAGAAATGACAATTTACAGCGGGAAAAATCTGCCTCGTCAGTCATGTATCGAAACTGACCGTTTTTTACCCAAGCGATTCAGTAGATCCATTCTACAGTTTTCTATAAGTCGTAATACCTAAGGAAAGAAAAAGATCTCTCTTTCTCGCTCTCTCTTTTTCTTTCTTTCTATTTCTCTTTTTTTCGCTCTCTGTCTAACTGTACAAAATGGTAACTAAAAAAAAAATAGGAGTTAATTTACTGTCTCTGTACAAACTTAATTTGCCAATCGTTTCAGTTCAAATTTACCAACAATTTAAGATGAATTTTTCGATCATTTCAGATCAACTTTGACATCGATTTATACGATTTCTTTTTTAAAACCGAGATTAAATTTGACACAAAACCATATTTTTCATTAGAATATTCCCCAGTAGAATTCAAGTCAGTCATTTATATGTCATACGTGATACACAGTTTAACTGTCATGCCTCTTTCAATTCATGATTGACTTGGCAGTAGATGTTCCCGCGGTAGGTTGCCGTTTCTTTCTGCGGTAGACTGGTTACCAACAATGGCTATAGGACCTAAGAGGGTGTAAACACGGTTTAAAAGGAAACTGACACAACGGTCAAGTTTCTGTTTTTAATTTTTAAAGGTTAAGCCGGACTATCCGATTTTCAAATCATGTATAAATGTCTTATAACTAATTTAATATAATGATATGGCTATTAGCTTAGTTTTTTTCCCGAAGCTGCAAGCATAGGGCACTCAGAGAGGATTGAATTCACGTGAGACCAGCTTGCTAACCATTGCTATACAACGAGGTACGATTACTTAAAATTTGGTATTTGAAATGTATATTAGTGTTGAACTATTAGCACCAAAAGCAGCAAATGTGTTTTGAAGAAGATTCTGTTGAACAATGAACGAAGAATCTACTTCTGCATTTCCCAATTTGATAAAAACGGAAAAAGAGAAAAAAAAACAATGGCAAATAAATTTGTGTATGACGTTAATAAATTCGAGGTTAATTCCATTTATAAAAAAAAAATCTCTTTTGATCTGCCTGTCTGTATGCATAAATTGTAAAGCTAACTCTTGATTTATTTGTGCGATAACGTATCCTATTTGATCTGTAGTACGAAACATTTAATGCATGTAAACATATTGCATAAAAACAATGTTGATCATGATATTTTTTTTTATGCCAGTTTAATGTCCGTTGTCCGCTGGTTGCATTTCATAATCACAAAAAAAAAAAGATGACCAAAATATGATACTCTTCTTTAGATGGGAAAATAATGGTGAAGGTAGGTTTTTGGAATATGATTATAGTCTGAGGGTGTTAGGCAGCATATCTTCATTCAAGAAAGTATGGTTGAACAATCTAGCCATATTATGTCTTTATTTTTATTTTAATCCTCTCAAATTCACGAACCAGTTTCTTAATAAAAGAAATGAAAAACTACGGCGCATTCCTTAATAAGTTTAATAACAACATCAGGAAATTGATCGACGATGAAGAATGAAGAAGAAACTTGAGGCAATATGAATGTGGTTCCACAGAAGAATGCTGAGAATTGAACGAAGGCTTCGAGAAAAGGGTTTTTATACTTAGAATCAGATATTGACCGCTGAAATTTCTAGGCCACATAACGAGGAAAGAGTGTTTAGAAAATTTGATACTAACAGGATATATATAATTAAATACACAATGTAATGTCTTAAAAGTGTTTGTTTTTCAAGAGATTTTCTTCTTACTTATCTATTTTCAAATTTCATGACTAATTTTCCTTATTAAGATTTAAATTTCGCTTTAATGTTTTTACATACATACATACATACATATATATATATATATATATATATATAAGTGAACATTTCATATTGGACGCAATCGTCAGGCCGTGAATGCTGGATTTTTCCTCGACTATATATGTGGGTCAGTGGTGCATTGTGGGTATTCTATTCTGGTCGTTATTTGCGGGAGTGGCTTGTTTATTTATTTGTTTAGGTTAATTTATTTTACTTGTTTTTTATTTTCATCTTTTATTATTCTTTTCGTTTTTTAGTGTTTTATTGACGTAGTAAAGAATTGGGGAAATTTAGGTCGCGACGTTTATTTTGGTCTGGAAAAAGATAATTAAAAGCTATTTATTCTTCCAATGTCCTGCTTGCCGTAGTCTATTCTGTTATTTTGGCGGGTGGACAGTTTAGGTAGTGTTTTGCATGTTGTGGCATCGTCCGGGAATGATTCATTTTGAATACTTAAAACGCAGTGCAACACTAAATGCACATGCATACCTCCAGCAACTGCAACGTGTCCATAAAACTTTTGTTGTAAAGCGTCTTGCGAATGTCGATAGGAAAAATGTTATTTTCCTCCATGGCAACGCGAGGCTGCTTGCAACAATCATAATACATAAAATTCGGACGTTTATACATTGGAATTTTGATTCGAACCTGTTATGGTCCAGGTTAGGACCAAGGAAGAACAACACGAACACAAGAATAGAAATAACGAAGGTATATTACACGAAATAATAATACAAGATGTGGAAGGTGTTAGTATGACTGTCAGTCTGGTTTTGAGTGATCTACTATCAG